TGATTTTCTACAGGAGAAGTCACCCCCTGCGTGTCCTCCATCCCCCTTCTCCCTGCATCCCTCCCTGCACACCCCCTCCAGGGGCTGTGAATGAGGGAAACACAGCTTGAGCCCTGTTTCTTTCCTAAATATATAGATAAAAAAAATATGTATTTATATTAAAAAAAAATTATTCCTAAATAACAAACTGTTCCCCTGCTTCAAATACCCACACCTGCCCCGTCACCAATGCTAAATGCAGATTTAAAATAGGTTTTTAAACCAGTCCGTGCTGCACGGGGACATCTTTCTAGTCCAGTCCTTAAATAATTTTACCTTTTGAAGGCCAAGGAGCAGTTGGTGTATCTAATGTTGCAAGAACTAACTCACTGACCAAGACACACGTGTACCTCGCTAGACAACACAGGGTTTTTTTCAAGTAGCAAGGTAATTTTTTTTCCAAAGAAAGGTTATTAAATCATAGAATGATATGGAGTTGGAAGGGACCTCTGGAGATCACCCAGTTCAGCCTCCCCACCAAAGCAGGTCCACCCAGAGCAGGTCCCACAGGAACGTGTCCAGGTGGGTTTGAATGTCTCCAGAGAAGGAGACTCCACCACATCTCTGGGCAGCCTGTTCCAAGGTTCCACCACCCTCATGGTAAAGTTCCTCCTCATGTTTAGGTGGAACTTCTTATACTCAAGTTTGTGCCCATTCCCTCTTGTCCTGTCCCTGGGCACCACTGAAAAAAGACCAGCCCCGTCCTCCTGGCACCCTCCCTTTAAGTATTTGTACACATTAATTAGATCTCCCCTAAGTCTTCTCTTCTCAAGACTGAAAAGACCCAAATCCCTCGGCCTCTCCTCGTAAGAGAGATCCTCCAGGCCCTTAATCATCTTTGTGGCCCTTTGCTGTACCCTCTCCAGCAGTTCCCAGTCTTTCTGGAACTGGGGAGCCCAGAACTGGACACAAATGGTCCCCTTGAAGGGATAAGGAGGGGTGGAGTTTGAATAAAGACATTTCCCACTTGACTAAAATATTGAAAAGGTTTAGTTCAACTGAAAGAGGAGAAACAGAACTTGAGCAAGGCAATGGTTGTGCCACCAGGACAAATTCCCCTTGGGATCTTCAGGCCACCACAGCCCTGGGGAAAGGCTGGGAGAGCTGCCCCATGGACTCACCTCATGCTCCAACCCACCATCAGGGATGGATCCTTCTTGGTGTTCCTGGGGCTGCCGGCCATCACTGACTCACCCTGGCTGTGACAGATGGGGACACGCAGGGTGGCCGTGCCAGGACGTGTCCCACCGTGGGTGCTGTCCCTCCGGGCTGGACGGGGAGCAGAGCACGGGCAGGTGATGGTGCTGGGACAAACCTCCTGGTAGCTGTGGCAGCCAGGCTTGGGCTGTGCGTGCCCGGTTTGAAGCTGGGGGAAAGAGAAGGAGAAAACGAGTCCATTCTTCCCTAAATCTGTGCTCACCTGTGGTCCAGACCATGTGGATGGAGAGCAGATGAGGGCTGGGACACCCGGTGTCCCTCTGACAGTGGCCCAGCAGTAGCCACAGGCTGCAGCAACACAGGAGAAGCACAACCAGATGTCAGAGCAGCGTCCTCTCAAGCTTTACAATAAAACCTCCCACTCAGGGCTGTTGCTTTGCACTCTTTCTGCCTCAATTTCCCTCCCAGGCCTGGGATTTGGTCACCCACGGGACACGAGGGGCTGTTTCCCACCCAAGGCACCGTGGTGCACGGGGGTCAGCACTGCAGCCCCCCTACAACTCGGACACAGCCCACGACCTCGGGGTTTCCAGCGACGAGTTAACAGCTCTGTTTACTCCCTGCAGTATTTTGTTTGACTAGTTTATTTTAATTTGACTAAAGCAAAAAAAGGATGTTTTGATTCTGGGGAAAAAAAAAAAAATATAGGATGTGACTTATATCTGCTTTTGTTTTCGTGCCAGCTTCAACCACACACCTATTTTAAAGCTCACAGGCCTCTTCCTCTTCTTTTTAATCATGCCAAAAGATGAAGTTGCAGGAGCATCTGTTGAGTGCAGCTTGAGGAGACCCACAGGGATCCCAAAACGTGTGGCTTTTGAGCTTTTGAGCAGGGAAGGCAAGTGGGATTCCACGGAGAGGGCAGAGGATCCGCATAACATGGCAAAATAAGGAAATGGCTGAGAGACGGGGAGAAAAACTCACGATGGGAGACATGAAGGTGGTGATGGTGGTGGTTGGGCCAGCGAGCGGTGACTTGGGGAGCCCGGCGGGGGGGCTGGCACCCCACGAGGGGCTAGTGGAAGGGGAACAGAGAGAGCCAAGGGCTGGCCGGGCGCTTCCTTTCAAAACAAGAGCAGCTCCGTCTGCGAACGCATCCGTGTTTGGTTCGTATCTAGGAAGCGACTGATCCATCTGCTCTTCCACTTAAGAAGAGGGATGATGAGAAAGTGGCTGGCCGGGCTCCAGCGGGAGCAGGAAACTCCTTCCTCTGCTCATTGTGATGTTGTGTGTGTCGGGGGGAAGCGTCTGGGAGGGCACCTGCACCCCCGGAGCAGCCCAGCTTCCCGAGCGGGCATTTCCTGGGGCTGCTTCGTTAGTCCTTAGGGTTTTCGGCATTCAGAGGGAGAAGAATCCAGCCCAGCCTCGGAGATGCCAAATCACAGCCCTCAGCAGATTTTTGGCCCGGAGTCTAAAGATGTTTATCCAGCTGCTGTAATCAGAACGGTATCAGGAACAGAAAAGCTGCCTCGTGGAAAGGTGAACGGATTTCCAACTCTTTTGGCGTTAGGTAACAGCTCAGAAGTGGGGCAGAAGGAGTTAGAATCCTCCTAACTTCTACCCCAAAACCAAAACGTGAGAAGTTAAGCCTATGGCAAAGAGCAGACAAAGATTTACTTCAAAACACTCTGGGAAGAGCATGATGAATAGATCCGTACAAGCTCTAGTTGCCTAAACATTCCTGATTTCTTGGGTTTCTAGACAAAATCCCATCTCCCTTGGATTTAACACAAAAGCTCTCAATCAATGCAGTCCACTCCCCTGATTTCAAAACCCTTCCCTAAGATGCCTCCACAGCTTGAATTTGGAGACCCAGAGGGTTCCTGATTTAACACCATTAAAATATCAACCCAAAAAACACCACAGCGAGCCCAAGGCTGTTATCACAGAGCGGGGTGTGGATGGGGGGAGGTTTGGTGATGGATGGGGGCGTGGAGCAGGGCAGAGGGAACCACTGGTGGGTCACCCCCTGCACTGGGGGGAGGTGAGCTCCGAGAGGAGTTTGTAAATCAAGGTTACGAAACAGCACCCCAGTGACCTGCACATTCTCGGAGCAGCTTCTAATGTTTACCACAAACTGATAAGCAAATAGCAACACCATTACTCCTCGGGGACAGGTTCCAGCCCGGGATGGATGCGATACACAAGAACTGCCAGCTTAAAAAAATAAATAAATAAAATTAAAAAAAAAAAAAAAATTTAAATGCTTTGCGCTAAGAACAGGTTCAAGTTGTTCCATTTCATCCACTCCAGACACTGCCTCCGGAGAGCCGTCATTCTTCAGATGTTTGCTGCTCAGCAGCAGTTGCAGCAGCTGGGGAGCAGAGGGACAGCTCGCCGGGTGCTATGTTGAAATGTCAGAAATACTAACCCTGCTGCCCAGAGGTGGTGGCCGGGTCTGGGACCACTTAATTTCAGATGGGCAAGGTCAGGGAACCAGCCTTCCCCCCTGCCCTGCGGTACGGGCAGCAGCCCTGCCTGCAAGAGTCAAATTCTGCACAAAGGCACAAGAGGTTTTTGTTCTCCCGGCTTTAGCTGTCACAAAGGTAAAGCTTTTCTGCTTAAAACCAGTTTTTTGGGGTGCTTCATTTATACACAGCAAGTCCTGACAAGTCAAAGGGCTTCCCCTGTCCTTAACGTGATAGATAAGTCTGTCTAGACCAGCATCCTCTCATCAACAGAGCCGGGAATGGGTACTTAGGAGAAGGGTGGTCAGGAAAAATAAGAAAATGCAAAAATCCACCCCTGCTTTCCTTGGCTGTACCTTTTGTGCTCAGAGTTCCTGGGAAGTCGGTGAGGTCAAGAGAGGCTCCATCCAGCTTTTGAGCACTCCTACAAATACATCAGCGTGTTGTGCTTCATTTGCTGGAGCAGTTTGACTGAATCTCACCAGTTATTTCCTGAGAAAACTGCTAAAGCCACACAGAGCTCTTCAGAGTGTCACCTGCGTCCCAGCGAACACCATCATATTAGTACAGAAAGGGGACTTTTAAGCCTTTCTGCAACTTCGGGCGCATTCCGACAGCTGTGTTTTATTACAACAACTTTACAAGCAATTTCTACAGGAGCATTAGCAACATGGTGTTCTGGGGGCAACGTCACACGAGCTCTTTGTTACCCTGGAAATGGGAATTATCATTTCTAGATTAGGCAACACAGCGCTGGCTGAACCCCGGCCTCAGACCCCCAGAGATTGGAGCTATTGGCTCCAGTCACAGCTTCCATATCTCTCTCTAGGGCTGTGGTATTCGAGCAACTTACTAAGCTGCATGACTTCTTGGGGTGAGGTGGGTTTGGTTGTACAGAGCCAGCACAGCGATTATTTGGCTGTCTCTTAAATTGTTTAGCTATTTTTGCTGCATTTCAGCTCTAAGGATCACAAGCCTCTTCGGCGCTGGAATCCCCCAGCTACGCTTTTCCCCATAAAGCCATTGTTGAGCTTGGCAAGTGCTAGATGTGTTTTTATAAATAAATCACCCAGCATTCCATACAGGACTGATTTCCAAAAGTAAAACCTCGCCGCTTAGAAAACGTACTGGAGGATAGATCATAAAAAGAAAGGAAGGAAGCAGGGCATGGCCATTCCCAGCTCAGATAACTTGAACTCATTCCTTCTACTGGGATTGAGTCTCTCTTGGTTCTCCACCTCCTGATAGACCCACAGTTCTGTCTCTCCTTAG